AGCCAGTGAGGGTGGCTTCTGAGAGGAGGTGGGACTTTAATTGGCCCGGAAGGATGAGTTGGTGGATGAGTTGGACAGGACATTCCAGGCAGGGGACTTGGCCAGGAGATGGGATAATCGCTTCTAAATGGCAGAACCCTGACAAGGCTAAGCCTGGGGGCTCATAGAGGAGCCTGGGACTGAGTGGAGATGCCCCCATGGAGAACTGGGCTAGAAGCCAGGGCCATACCTAGAACTGGTGTTCAAATTTCCACCTTCAGGAAACAGGAAGGTCCAAGCTGTGGATCTTAGGTGCTCTTCAGTTTGGGGGCCACGAAGAAGTTCTCTTTACTGAGTGCTTGGGAGGTCAGTACCAAGAAAAGTTCTTTCTAGAAGGTTTGCCCTGGGAGCTTGCATGTGTGGCAATGGCCAATCCTGGTGCTGCAGCCCTGACTCCATACCCAGGTGCTCCCACCAAGGCTCTGCCGGTGCCAAGAGGCACCAGTGGGACCAGTGGCCTCCTCTGTCTCTCTCCCATCTCTCTTACCTTATAAGCTGGCAAATGGATATCTGGAATCATAGGTTTCCATTCTGACCCTGATGGTCCTTTTGAAGGGCTCACACTGCCCCTGAGGAGCTAGTTGGATGGTGCAGCTGGGCCAAGTGGGGAGAGCAACACCTGTCCTAAAGACAGAACCTTCACCCCTTGGCTCCTCTGAGGGCTCACAGTGCATCAGGGGAAACTGAGTCCCCAGGACAGCTGGGCCTGCCCCACGATCTCAGTGAGGACATAAAAGAAGTAGGTCTAGAATTTAGATTTCTTGCCCCTCCCAGCTGAGCCAGCTCCACAGATGGTTCTTTGTCCTCCTCTCAAAGACAGCTGGGCTGGGGATTAGCTCAGTGGTAGGGCACTTGCCTAGCCTGTGCAAGGTCTTGGGTTTGATCCCCAGCACTGAAAGAAAAAAAAAGACATGTCCCAGACTCTTTCAGAAATGTCACTGTGCGCTGGGCACGGTGACCCATGCCTGTAATCCCAGGGACTTGGGAGGATGAGATAGGAAGATGGAAAGTTCAAAGCCAGCACCAGAAATTTAGTGAGACCTTGTCTTAAAATAAAACATAAAAAGGGCTGGGATGTGGCCCAATGGTTAAGCGCCCCTGGGTTCAATCCCAGGTACCAAAAAAAGAAAGAAAAAAAAAAAGTCATTGTGTACTAGGTCTAGTCCAGGTCTACCAGATCTCCTTGAATTTCACGTGAAACCCACACCCCCATTCCAAAATGACCTCAGCATTTGTATCGGATAACTAAAAAGTCCCCAAAGAGACCTCTGCCTCCCTGCACAGGTGTTCTCCAAGGATCTGGTTCCAGAACCTTTGTTACCTCTGGCCTGGCTTCCTAATGTGACAGGCCTTTTCCTACCTCTTGGATAAAGTGGCTCCATCTATATGATAAACAGGATGTGCCTGCAAAGAAGCTCCTTGGAGCATTTCAAAGTTATCCAAATGCTAGATTCATTAGACCAACACCACTAAGCTGGAAGGGAAAGGGCAAAAATGCAAAACAGAACCAGGCCAGGCCAGAAGAACTGTAGAGGGGAATGTGACAACTAAGGGATCAGAGGATGAGAGAGAAACTAGGCCCAGGAGGCTGGGAGTCCATGGTACTGTGAGTTCAGGAAACAGGTTGAAGGCTGAAGAGGGAGAGAAGGGCAAGGATCTATGCTCAGCTCATCCCTAACTAAAAGGGGAGGACAGGATGACCTTGGCCATTTCCCAGACTAACTGGAAGGCCTGCAGTGCATGAGCCTGGTGTGTGGCCAACAGGTGCCTTCTTCTTTTCTGCAGTTGGCTACACTTTGAGTACCTCATGTTTGCATGGTGTCCCTGCCTGTAGCTGTTTTCCATTTTTCTGCTAAGACCTTTTGGGCTTTTCCTATGTTCTCGGATCCTTCTGGCCCCTCTGTATTGATGGGAGATGGGGCAGGAATGAGCAAGATTGGGCATTTTCTTTTTCTTCTCTCTCTTTTTTATCCCCATGATCCTGGGGATGAAACCCAGGGCGTCTCACATGCTAGGCAAGTGCTCTCACTAAGCTACAGCCCCAGCAAACCCCACCCACTTTTTTCAGGTACTGGGTGTTGAACACAGGGGCGTTCAAACACTCAGCTGCATCCCCAACCCTTTTAAAATTTTGAGACAGGGTCTCAGTAAATTGCTGAGGGGGGCCTCCAATTTGCAATCCTGCCTCGGCCTCCTGAGTTGCTAGGATTACAGGCTTGTACCACCACACCCTGCTCCCTGGCCCTTTTAAAATTTTATCTTTGTATATTCATATATAAATACATGATCAGTGAAACTCCACGTCATGTACAATCACAAGAATGGGATCCTAATTAGAATAAGTAATACTCCATGTTTATATATGTCAAAATACACTCTACTGTCATATATATCTAAAAAGAACAAATAAAGTGGAAAAAAAATTTATCTTTGTGATAGGGTCTTGCTAAATCACCCAAGCTGTCTTCAGATTTGTCGTCCTCGGGCCTGGGGATGTGGCTCAAGCAGTAGTGCGCTCGCCTGGCATGTGTGCGGCCTGGGTTCGATCCTCAGCACCACATACAAACAAAGATGTCGTGTCCGCCGAAAACTAAAAAATAAATAAAACATTAAAAAAAAAATTTGTCGTCCTCCCTTCTCAGCCTCTGGAATCAGCTGGGGTTCTAGGCATGTGCCACCCTGTCCAATGGCAACTATTTGCATTTATTGTGATTTGCCAACACAGCTCAAGTTTATATGTGTATTTTGCTATTTGTTTTCTATTTGTCTCTCTACTCTTTTCTTTTCTCTGCATTATTTTTTTTCTTTTTGGTACTGGGAATTGAACTCAGGGGCACTCAACCACTGAACCACATCCCTAGCCCTATTTTGTACTTTATTTAGAGACAGGGTCTCACTGAGTTGCTTAGCACCTGGCTTTTGCTGAGGCTGGCTTTGAATTCGAGATCCTCCTGCCTCAGCCTACCAAGATGCTGGGATTACAGGTGTGCGCCACCAGGCCCTGTCTTTTAGGTTATTTTTATGAATCCTTCTTACCTCCTTTTTTGTCTTACTATGTACACTGTCATATATATTTAAAAAGAACAAATAAAGTTTGTTCTTTATTGGTTCCCTTAAGCATTTATAGTCTACATGTAATTTATCACAGCTGCTGTGTCACACATTGTAAACTATAAGAAACTAATAATAGCACGCTTCCATTTTGCCCCTCCAGAGCTTTGTTCTGAGATACAGCTTCATAAAGCCTGGAAACATTTTGATCTTTTGGGTATTGTTTTTAAGCATTCTTAGGTAAGACTAGAGAAGCATTTAGAGTTAATTTTGCCTCACTTGGTAAAAACCTTTTCTCTACCTGATTCCCCATGAACTATGAGTTTTCCTATTCAGGCTGATGGAATCTCAATCCCACATGACTTCTGGAATTGTTCTTTCTAATCCTTTCTGGTGGCTCTTTCCCTGTCTCCAGATAATTTCCATATATTCATGTCCTGAGCAGAACTCACTGGAAGGGTTGGGATGTAGTTTATTTATTTAAATATTTTTCCTTTAGTTTTGATAGATCTTTATTTTATACGTGGTGCTGAGAATCGAACCCAGTGCCTCACACATGCAAGGCAAGTGCACTACCGCTGAGCCACAGTCCCAGGATGTAGTTTACTGGTAGAGTGTGTTTTAGCATGCGCATAGTCCTTGGTTCAATCTCTTGCAATTAAAAAAAAGTGTTTCCTCAATCTATTGCTCCAATTCTTGTGAAGACAATGTCAAATTTTTGTAGCAATACAACCAAGGGAAGGCAAGTGCTATGCAGCATGTCTGAATCCCAGCTACTTTGGGGGCTGAGTCACAAAGCAAGTTCATGGCCAGCCTGGGCAATTTAGTGAAACCCTAGCTCAAAATAAAATCTAAAAAAATATAAGAGGGGGCTGGGATTGTAACTCAGTGGTAGAGTGCTTGCCTGGCACGTGTGAGGCACTGGGTTCCATTCCCAGCACCCAATAATTAATAAAGGTCCATCAACAACCAAACAACAACAACAACAAAAAAAACCCTAAAGGGGGGGACTGGTACCCCCGAAAAGCAAAATAAAATAATAAGGGGGACTGGGATATGCAGGTCAGTGGTATTGCTTGCTATCGCCTAGTATTTGTGAAGCCATGGGTTCAATCCCCAGTAAAACAACCATGCGCGCGCGCGCGCACACACACACACACACACACACCATGGACTTAAACTTTGAAATGTGAAGATTTCAAATTTCCTTAAGATCTGTATGCAGAGACACTACGAAGGTAAATGGCCAACAGCAGCTAGAGAAAAGTTTTTGTCAGAATCAAGTTAATTGGGAATTTTCCTTTAAGGACAGAGAAGCGTGCTGGGTGGTGAGGAGGGGTGCGGGGGTCCCCATGGGACCCAAGGGCGCTTGCGGGCGGGACTGCATCCTAAGGGACCGTGGGACACAGGAGACCAGGACCGAAAGAACGGGACGGGACGCGCGGGGCGGGCCAGGTCTACCGCGACGCCAGGGTCACTCCCGCTTCCCCCAGCTCTGCTGGCCTCGGTGCCTCAGGCTTCGCGCTGGCTGCCTAACGCCGCCGCCGCGGTGAAAACCCAACCCAGAAGCTACCGAGCGGGGGCGCAAACGTACCCGCCACTAGGGGAGCTTTGCGCCGCCGCCAAGCCGCGCCCCCGGCACCTGACCACGCCTCTCAGACTGCGCCGGCGCGGGCGCTGTCCCCGACATCCTGAGGCTCGCGGGTGGGGACTGCTCTAGAGCGCTGGCACCGAGTCTGTCCCGCGGGGATGGGCAGCGCGTACGGAGGGGCCGCAGGTGATGACAGCGGCGGAGCCTAGCAGTCAGACAGAACCCCCGTTCCTCGTCCGAGGTGGACGTGTCTCTGCCTGAGCGCACAGGGCTGGAGTGCAGGGCCGGAGGTGGGGGCGGGGCTCCAGGTGACGCCCGGATGTGTAGAGGTCGTTACATTGGGGGCAGGAGTCCAGGTAGCCCTAACCAGGAGCTGCGGGTGGATCAGGCTCCTGACGGGAATGGAGTGGGATTGTGACTGCCCAGGATCACACCCCGAGCTCGATGGTCCCAAAGCGTCAGACACCAGCTCATCCGCCTTGCAGTCTCTCCCAGCTCAGCCTGGTGTTGGAAAGAGAAACATGAAGGTCCCCACGGCAGAACAGTCACATCCTAGATGGTAGAAGGAAGCCAGGTCTGCAGCTCAACGCAGAATTTACACTCTGGGCGCTCCACCTCCAGCCCCTTACTATGTAATCTTGTACTACCATTTTCTTATCTGAGAATGGAAATAATAGAGGTGACGTGAGAATTCAGTTAATGTATTTATGAAGCCTTTAGAACAAGGGTGTGGTGGAGGGAGGGAGGGAGAGAGGATAGTTAGTGGGTACAATTGAATAGGAAGAATGATGCCTGATGGTCCGCCGCACAGGACAACGGCAGCTGATAACAATTGAGAGGATTCTGAGTGTTTCCAACAAAGAAATGATATTTGTCTTCACTGACATTTTTTTTTTTTTTTAGAGAGAGAGAATTTCAATATTTATTTATTTTTTTAGTTTTCGGCGGACACAACCCAGGCTGCATGCATGCCAGGCGAGCGTGCTACCACTTGAGCCACATCCCCAGCTCTCTTCACTGACATTTGATCCTTACATCAAATCCTTACCCTGATTTTGATCCTTACACATTGTATACTTGTATTGAAATACCACACTATACTCCCTAAATATGTGTAATTACTGTCAGTTAAAAATGTATTAAAATAAAGCAGCACCTTTTGTCTTGTGGAAAAGAAATTTATAACAGTGGCAAAGCACAATTTTGAGTCAAACTTGTGATTCAGATTTTTTTTTTCTTCAGAATTTCCAAATGCATCTCCTTGACTGAGCCTCCTACATGGAGAAGCTCAGAGTCCCAGCCTTGTACCTCACTAATGTCCTGGACGTCAGACAAACTTAGCTGAATGCTTTCTACTGCCAAGCTTTTGCTGCTGTTGCTTTTGTGTGTGTGTGTGTGGTTGGGGGTGGTATTGGGGGTTGAACTCAGGGGCACTCTACCACATCTACACCCTCAGCCCTTTATTTTTGAGACAAGCTCTCACTAAGTTGTTGAGGCTTGCTCAAACTTGCAATCCTCCAGTGTTGCAGCCCGGCTGGCTGGGCAAAATAACCGGGGGGTGACGAACAACTTGTGTAGATTGATACAGCAGGAGTAGGAGCCGTTTATTGCAGGACAGGAGCAGTATTTATACATTCCACACAGCTTATCTAATTAACATAAACTAGATACATCAGTCAACCAATAAGGAATCTCCACACTTAATGGCTTGCTTTTGTTACTTCTCAAACCACTCCCTCTGGCATTTTGCCAGGCACCATCCAGACTTGTTTACGAGCTCTAACATTCCCCTGGCTAAATGCCAGGTGTTATTTTGACTTGTTTACAGACTCTAACACTCCAGCTTCAGCCTCCCACCTCTATGGATTTACAAGCATGTGCCATTACCCTTGGCCAGGCCTTTACTTCTGCTTTGCTCCCTACCAGAAATGTTCTTTCTTCCTCTTGTTGAGTTTCTGCCCATACTTAGAGGCCAGGAGCTGAAGGGAAGGTAGTGACTTTTTTGCCTGAGGCACAGATCCAGGGGCTGCCTGATTGCCCTAACGTGGGGTCTGTGATTAAGAACTGGTTTGTGGGGGCTGGGACTGTGGCTCAGAGGTAGCACACTTGCCTGGCATGTGTGAGGCATTGGGTTGAATTCTCAGCACCACGTATAAACTATTTAAATAAAGGTCTATCAGCAACTAAAAATAAAAAAATAAAAAGCTGGTTTGTGGGGGGTGCTGGGGTTGTGGCTCAGTGGTAGAGCACTTGCCTAGCATGGATTTCAATTCTCAGCACCACATAATAATAAAATAAAGGTATTGTGTCCATCTACAACTGAAACAAACAAACAACAAAAACCCAAACCCAAACCACTGGTATGGAGTTTTTTTTTTTTTCATTTCAGGACTTGAACCCAGATGTACTTAACCATCAAACCACATCCCCAGCCCTTTTTAATATTTTATTTAGAGACCAGGTGTCCCTGAGTTGCTTAGGGCCTTGCTAAATTGCTGAGGTTGGCTTTGAAACTCAAGATCCTCCTGCCTCAGCCTTCCAAGCCACTGGGATTACAGGTATGTGCCACAAACCCAGTGGTTTGTGATTTCTGCTGCTCCCATAGCATGCTCAGTGTCTCACCTTGAGCGGCTCCCCCCACCATCCTCACACCCCCACCCCACCCGTGTAATCCCCAGGCCTACTGTGAGGGCTATAGTGACAACCACCTTGGTCCTTGGCATTTTCAAAGAGCCCTGCCCCCACACCGGATGGTGGCTGTCTCAGCTCCAGCTGTGGTCTGCCCAGTGGAAACAGGACTCTCAGGGAAGGCATGTGACTCAAGCCTGCAATGGGGCCAAGGTAGGGGCCTGTCTTTGTGGAGCTAATCCACACTGTTTGGTGGGGGCTTCCCAGATGGCAGTAGTGTCAAGTATAGGGAAGACCAGGTTTGTGGATGTCCCCCCCACCAGGCCTGTGTTCTTGGCACTGACGCCCCCTTTCCCATCCCTTTTTGTGGTGTTTTTTTTCTTTTGGTGTTTGGTTTGGTTTGTTTTTTTGATGCTGGGGATCAACCCAGGGCCTTGTACATGCTAAGCGCACTCTCTACCTCTGAGCTCCAGCCCCAGCCCACCTCCTTGAGGTTTCTTAACTCAAGGACATGTAGTATGAGAACAACCAGGCTGCGGAGCCTGCAGATCTGGGTTTGATTCTGCTGCTCATTGCTGGTGTGACCTTGAATCGGTCACTTGGCTTTTCACAATCCCCTCAGTTTTAGCAACATATTTGTACTACATCTGACCCCAGACAGCTGTGAGAGAATAAAATGAAAATGAACCTGAAGTCCATAGGACCCTATTCCTTGTTTCAAAGGTTAGCTGATCCTTCCCAGAGTAAAGAAGTCAAAGACCAGCCTCAGAGGGTCACTCAAAGACCCACAGGCCTGGCTTCTTCATTTATGGGTTCATTCCTTCCCTCATTCCGCATGCACTGACTGAGCACCTACCAAGTGCCTAGTCCTGTCCTGGACTTCAGGGTGCCAGGTGAACAAGTTGGTCCTGGCTCTAAATTTGGTGAAAGGAGAGCTCTGGAGGTGCCTTAGCCAGGCAGGTGCAATGACCTCTGCAGACTCGTGGACTTGGCCTTCAGCTGTGGGGGGGATGAGGCCTGGGGGATTGGGTTACCATCTCTACCCTTTGCGGACTCCTCAGCCAATCTGCCCCACTTTGTGCCATGCTTCCAGATGCACATCTCTAGCCTGGTCTATCAGGACCACCTACAGCAACTACCAGAGGAGCAGAGCGGGGACATCTGGGGATAGTCGGATGGATCAGACTCTGATCTTCGCCTTTTGGTGGGTGAGGGAATGGGACTCTAGACTGGGCTGCTGACAGGTACACAGCCCAGTAGTGCCAGGAAAGTGGAGTAGGCTGTCAAGTGACCTAAAAAAGTACCTGGAGGGCTGGGGATGTGGCTCAAGTGGTAGCGCGCTTGCCTAGCATGCGTGAGGCACTGGGTTCGATTCTCAGCACCACATAAAAACAAAATAAAGATATTGTGTCAACCTAGAACTAAAAAATAAACATTAAAAAAAAAAGTACCTGGAGATGGTGTGCAAGACATAGATTAAGCCAGGCATGGTGGTACACACCTGTAATTCCAGCTACTCTGGACACTGAGGTAAGAGGATTGCAAGTCTGAAGCCAGCCTAAATGCTGTCTTAAAAAAAAAAAAAAAAAAAAAAAAAATATATATATATATATATATATATATAATATGCACATGTGATATATATATGTACACACATATACATATAATCTAAATGTACAAGTATAATTATATATATATATAATTATATATATAAATACAAGTGTATAATTTATTCAAACAGCTTACAGGGAAGATTCAGTGGTGAGAGGCTCTGTCCCTCATGGTGTCTTGCTAAGCAGTGCCTCCATCCCTAAGAACACTACTCCAAGAAAGTAGTGCCTCCATCCTCTTGGACCTTGTCCAATGGCAGCTGGCTGATGTACCTTCTCCAGAGCCCTCAACTCTGCAGTTACCACAGGAAGGGAGTTTTACAGGCTAGTTGCAGAAGTGATGACCTCATCAGCACTAGCTGGCTTGTGTGCTTTGTTCCTTGTATGGCCAGCATTCCGAGGAGTGCTGCTTCCGGCATACGTGCCAGCGAGCAGTTTTCTAAAGCTAGCATTCAAAGGCAGTGTCCTTCAAGATAATACTTATGTAGACATCCTCCTAGGGCCACTGTCATCATTCCTTGAGTTGCCTACGGTCCTGGGAACGAAGGCACAGCTCAGGGACATGGTGTTCCTTTGTTGCTGTCTTTCTTTTCTTTAAGGATGACACAGCTGTTCTCCCTGTCTTCTGGAGGGATGAGGCAGGGCCCTCTGGGCCTCCTTCCCTCTGGTCAAGCAGGACACGAAGGGCTTCTCCACTGTTCTCCATTGAGGGGATGGGGGCTATGCTGGCCAAGGGAAGTGACATCCTGTCTGCTACAGAATGGCTTCTAAAGTTTGGTCAAGCAGCCTGCCTTCTAGCGTCCCCTTAGATAGGCCCAGGGTGCTTCTGAGCTGGGGACAGGTTCTAGAACTACCTTCTGCCAGGCAGTAGGCAGACCCAAGTGCTGAGGGGGCTGTCCTTCGTCTCTTCCACCCTCTGCTGTCACAGACTACCAGTGCCTGCAGCTGTAGTCCTGTGGGGAGGAGGATTGCAGTACAGGCTATGGATCTCACTGGGTTCAGATCTCACTCCAGATAGTGAATCCCCATCTTCTGAATGATGGTAAAAAAATTCAGGTAAAAAACTCTGAAAGCTGAGATAACACTTCAACTTACGAGGTTGCCACACACAACGGGAAATTGCAACCGTTGGCCAGCATGAGGAAGCCCCTCACTCTGCTGTGGGAAGAGCCAGGTGGTGCAGAAACGGGGGCAGCATACAATTACCATATGACCCAGAAACCCCACTCCAACCTGAAAACAGGGACTGGAACCAATGCTTGTGAATGAATGCCCATAGATGTCCTGTTCAGAATAGATGAACTGTGGGAACAGCGCGGGGGTTGTAGCTAGTGGCAGAGCGCTTGCCTCGCATGTGTGAGGTACTGGGTTTGATCCTCAGCCCCACATAAAAATAAATAAATAAAAATAAAGGTATTATGTCCATCTACAACTGAAAAAACAAAACAAAACCCAAACCTGCAGGCACTTCCAGGTTCTCTAGCTGATGGATTAACTGTCTGTGGTCTACATGGTCAACGGCATAAGGACTGACACGCGTCCCCATGGGTGAGGCTTGGGAAGTTGATGCTAAGTGAAAAGCCAGACATGAAAGGGTGACTACTGTGGATCCTGCTTTCGGTGAAGGACCTAGAACAGGAAGATCGACTAGAGGTCACCAGAGGCTGGGGCCCCGGGCAAGGAGGTTGCAGCCACTAAAGCCCTTGAAAGCCCAGCCCAGGCCCCAGGAGGGCCAGGGTGGACAGAAGGAGCAGGTGGCCTGAAGAAGCCCTGTGCTTACCTGTGCCTCCCCTGGGAACCCATGTCCCTGTGGGTAGGGCAGCAGGGCCTGGAGCTGGAGCAAGCAGGGACGCCGCGGGGACTTGAACCCCGGCCCAGCTCGTGGGCGTGCCACCACCAGCGCCTTTTGCTTTTTCCTGC